GATGCCTTGACAACCCACTTACGCGAGTCGAGTATATCCCGACAACTTGATAAATGTGAGGCGTACAATAAACGAAATATGGTGAACGCACCTCACATGGTCTACGGTTAGTCCCGAAAGCCTACTTATAAACGAAAAATAAGTAATTGAGTCGATTGTTATAAAAAATACACATTTGCTTTATCGAAAATCCCACCACAGTATGTGATATGGAAAAATATCTGGTTTTTCTTCAAATTTGCATGTGTCTTGTGACACGAGGGCTCTTGTGGCAGTCTGGTGTAGTAGCTAACGTATGGAGATTACCTGCTGAACTATCAAAGTTCGAGTCCCGTTGTGGGTGTTGATAAGACCTACGCGAGGTCGGAACAGCAGTCCATTTGGGTCTGAATGAAAATACCTTTTGGGAAAGCAATGTTATTTGGAATTCTCACATGCTTTTGAGAAAATTCAACCACCAGGTCTTTATAACCTCAAACGAAATAGCGGAACACATCTTAGATTTCATGATGTGCATTATCAGATTCATCAAATTTTCTAACTTTGCGGCTCGATTATGCTTGGCCCTCTCAAGCCATATACACGTTTCCCATTCTCAACTTGCCTATAGATTGTTTTACACGACCACAAAATAACCGAAATGGCATAAGTTGATCATCGTGTTGCTCCTCTTTCCCATCTTCCTTCCTGACCGCTAGATGGCCATTTCTCTCTCGCAAGTGTCGAAACGTATTTGGGATCCTCTTCTCTGCCGCGGGAGAAGCGTTTTCGCTTGGTTCCTTTCGACCCTGACCCGTCAATAGACGACACTCCGCCTCTAAACAAGCCCAACTTTCGGTTCCCAGACCACGTATCGCTGCCACAATTGCCGCAACAACTGCATCTGCCGCCACCTCCAACGGCGTCTCCTCCGCTCTCTCACGAGTCGACCTGCTGTTCCGTGTGCCATTTCTCCGAGGGTTCCCACTGTTCAGAGGGCGGATGTTTGCCTTCTCCAGCCTCTCCGTATTCCTCGACTCCGACGAATTCACACTTTTCCTGTCTGCCGGAATGTTCTCTGAGTCGGTCCGACCAACAGATCGGCAATTCCATCCTCTTCGCTTGCCCAATGCTTCGAGACACCTCCGAGGCTATCTCCAGTACGGCAAGTCCCTTCTTTGAGGCGGATGGAGGCAAGTCAGCCTTGCCAATGCTCTCGGGAACCTCGGATCGGCTGACCAATTTGATCGACAACTTCGGAGCCGGTACGCCAGACTCTTTGGCTACCAATTTATCGTCTCTTCGATCCAGTTGGCCGGATCCAGTGACCGTTGGGGGCAATATGAACGGCTCCAGTTGTCTCCCCAAACGGATGTCCAGTCCGGCAGATGTGCCTGTTACTCATCCAAAACCGTTATTCTCTTACGCTCAGATGATAATACAAGCGATCGTCTCGTCTCCGGAGAAACGGCTCACTCTTTCCGACATCTACACCTTCATCTCGAAACACTTTCCCTACTACAAGCCCAACGAGAAGGGCTGGCAAGTGAGTCGGCTAGTGGCCTGGTTGCTTCCGATGCTTCTCTATTTGCACAAATCTCTTTTTTACGACATTAAATTGTCTTGAGGCGAACCGGAAGATCTCAAACTGAAAACTGGAACGTGGAAACCAAATTCACTTCTTCACATTAATTTTTAAAAAAAAAG